TTTTAGTTTGATTTCGTTTCCATAATTTATTTAAAAATTTTTTTCATAAATTTTGAAATTTGATCTATTTTGTTACCTTATTTTCTACACCTTGGAACATAATTTATCAAAAATTCAATTTTTATAAGACGACAAAAATGTTTGCGAGTTTTAAAAGGATAATATAACTGCCTGTTAGGCATTCCTGTGATTTTGTGTGATTCATTGTGTTAGGGTGTGTTCATTTCATTCAATTGCTATTATGACACTAATTCAAAAAAATAATAATGTTGAAATAGAAAATGTTTATTGGTTCAACTTCCGTTGAATTTGCTGGTGGCAAATAGCAGAGCGATAGCATCAGAGCATATCGTTATACTTGGAAAGTTGAAGGGTACTGTAATATTCCTATGAAATTAAAACTATTTATATTTGACTTTCATATAAACATGGAGTACAATTTCACCTCAACAGCTGTTATACTATTTGATTTAATCACATTAAAAAAAATCCAATTTTATTTTTTAATGAGATTTTGATAATATTTAAACTTTATTCGTACTCTTTTATTCTATTGACTTCGAATTTCGTAATCTTAGCTTATTAATTACAACTGCTTGAATTGATTGTTAAATATGTTGGTCCCAGCAACTTATGTACTAGGTACTGGAAGCATTGTAATATCAGTTTTACCAAATTACATTCACTATTTTTCTCAGACCAATAAAATATATAGTTTAATATTTAAATGGCTTATATCTAATTGATTGCTTAATTTAAATTGACAGATGATACATTGTTTTCATTTCCATGCAAACACTTATAATTCTTACATGAGAACTATTTTATTAAAAATTATCGAAATAAAAGTTCATGTATAAGTTTATTGGTCAGTCGAAGTTTTCTATAAAACTACGATATGATTAAAATTGTATCGCATTAAAAATGTTAAGAAATTTGTAATTTTTTTTTAATTGTTAAAAAACTTTCGTTACATAACTTTTATACAGGCGAGAGTTGATCAATTTTTGACTTGCAAAGTGGGCGGTGAACTAAAAAAGGTTGAAAACCTATACTTTATTCGAAGCAAAATAATTTGTTATCAAAAATTAATTTGTTCAGTAGTGTGTTTAATCCGTTCAGAAAATCACTGAAAAGTAACCTCATCCCCCNCCCCCCCCCCCCCCCCCCCCACAGAAAAGAAAAACAAAAAAATTTCTAAGCCTGATAAGTTTAACATTGGTAAAATTTTAGATCAGCGAAGTTTTGCACCATCGAAGTTATTGATTGGCGAAGTTTTGTACCCGCGAAGTTATGGATTTGCGAAGTTTTATTCACGTGAAGTTATGAATGGTTGGAGTTTTAGTCGCAAAGATTTGTCAAGCGAAGATTTGTCAGCGAAGTTTTGACCCCGAATCAAAATATGCATATAAGAGATCTTGAAGAATATTATCTTAGAATGGTACCCTTGACCACCTTGTAAAAATCTTTTCAACGTATCTTTCTAAATAAAAAAAAAATGTGATTGATTTTTTCTCATTTTTCTCTGTGGAATCAAGACATGATAATTCCACGATCCACTATCAACAATAACTTTCCCTTATAATGATATTTAACGTATATTATTAAATATGTAGTTGAGTCAATGGTTTTAAGCGTCATTAGTTTTAATAATTCTCCAAGAAAACTAACTCGTTTAAAGGTGTTAGTAAATTGTAGACAAAATACAACTGTAAAACCATGAGGAAGAGAATTTTAAAAGAACATTTTTAATTTTTAAGAAGATTAGTTTTAAATTTTCGTTAACAATCAGTGCAGAAAATTTACTCATTGAATGAAATTAGAATTGTTTTGACAAAATGCAACTGAAAACTTTAGTGAAAGAAAATAATATGGAATATTTGAGTTTTTGAAAAGATTAACTTTAATTTTTTATTAATAATCCATAAAGGGGAAATTAATTTGTTTAATTGAATAAAAATCATTTGGAGAAAATACAGCTGAAGAACTTAGTAATAGTGGAGGACATTTTAAGTTTAATTATGATTGTAGGCTTTTATTAACAATCTATTAAGAAAGTAAAGTCTTTTAGTGCAATCAGAATTTTTTTAACAAAACAGAGAGAAGTCTTAATAATTTTGATCTTAAGAAGTTTTTTTATATAGTTAAAAGTAAATATTTAAAACAATCTTGAAGCAATATTTAAATGAAAAAATAGAAAAATATCTATTTCTCTACATGAGTTCAAAAAACTGTCTTTAATTCATTTCAAGCAATTATTTTTGATAAAAATTGGAATAATAAATAAATTTATGCAAATGACAATCATGTATTCAACGACATTTTTGATTGATTATAATTTACATCTTGAAGTTACGAACTATCAGATAAAAATATTAAACGAACTTAGTTATCTGTTTTGCGCTATGTACCTTGTTCCATTAAGAAATATCTATAATATTGATCTATGAATGATTATGTTATAAAACGCAACTATTTGCGATAGGCATGGTTTTGGTATGACCCCCAAAATATAGGGAGTAGCCGCAATCTGGGAAATATGGTTCCTGTAGTTAAGTCAGGATAGTGATCCGAAGTTCCGACTCCTTAATGTTAATTTTACTTTTTGTGTTTTTCGCTAGACCTTGAAAATTTTTTAAGCGAATTGAAATTTTTTTTTCACGCAATTATAAAATTCGTTTATCGAAAGATAATTCCATCTGAAAACTAACTTTTAGTAAATACTTATTATTTTTTTTAATAATGGTCAAAACAAATTTTGAATTTTTTTTTTAATTTATTTATTTTTTTTAAATAACGGCAGGCACTGAACTTTTCGTTCTTCGCCATAGAAGATGCCGGAATTGTTACTCATTTAGCGTTACCCAGTGGGAACCTGTGAACTAAAGTCACGGAGGGGAGCAACGCTACCCACGCCATACTGCCACAAACCCGTTCATAGGGTGGGCCACATTCACTCAACAGAAGACAACACAGAGAGAGAAACATCCATGCCCAGAGCGGGATTCGAACCCGCGGCCATTGGCTCCGCAGTCAGACACGCTAACCACTCAGCCACCTGGCCGGCAATTTTGCATTGTAGGTATAAATATTTGAATTTCAAAAATTTGAGAGAAATTGAATTTAAAAGAAGTCAGATACTTAAAATTCGATTTCGAAAAGTTATTTTTTGCATGAAATTATTTTTGAAGAAACGAATTTTATAATTGTGAGCAAAAGTTTTTTTTAATTTGCTCTGAAAGTTCCCGAGATATCGCGAAATACGCAAAAAGTAAAATTAGCAGTAAGGGGTCCAAACTTTGAAGAGCTCTCTTTACCAAGCTTTGATACCCCAGATTGTGCCTCCCCCCTCCTATATTTTGGGGGACAGAAATATGAATCCGTTGAAGAAAAAGTACGTTTATTGAGAGAAAGTAAGTTTTGTGTTTGATTTCGAAACTTAAAAAAATATCGTTTCGCCAGTTAATTTTGCATATTTGAAGTCATCCCCTTGAACCATTAAGAGTGAGTCCTTGAGCGTGAAAATCCGATCGTTAGATTAAAAGTTATTCAGGGTGGTCTGCTTTTTTGGCACAATGTACAACTACTAAACTTACTGAAATATTATTTAATAAAAAAATTGCATTTTTAGCATTTTTAAAAACTCTTTACAAATTTGCTTGGTTTAACCGCTTTATTTTTTTTACAAATTTGATATATAACTAAAAATAATATATGAATTAAAATTATATTTATGTAGTTGATGTTGGCATAATTATAAATAATTTGCTTACTATGAGTAAATCTATTCTGTTGTTTTAAGTTTTTCGGCTGCTCTAAAATTCTTTGTCACATATTGTTAAAGTAAAATTTCAAATCTCGTTTTAATATCTGATTGATGTTTAAATATATTTTGGGACTTTTAAGTTTTTCAAAGCTTGTTTTAACTTTATAAAATTTAAAGATGCAAAAAATATTAACATTTAAATTAAAATGACTTGAAATGTAACAATTGTTAAAAAGAATTGTAATTTATACAGAGATAGTTGGTACAAATATTCTAATTGTAATTGGTACAAATTTGCTATGTATATTATGTGTATATTATAATGATATCATAATTGGTATATAATTAGTATATTATAATTAGCATATTATAATGATATTACAATTGGTATATAATTAGTATATTATAATGATATTATAATTAGTATATTATAATGATATTATAATTGGTACAATATAATGATATTATAATTTATATATTACAATGATATTATAATTGGTATATTATAATGATATTATAATTGGTATTGTATAAAAATGTATATTATAATGATACAAATTTTTAATTTTTCAAAAATAATTAGGCTAATGATTTAAAATGAATTGTTACAGACTTAAAAGGAAATATTCCAAACATATTTTTAATAATTTTTAACTTTCATTTTGCTCACTAACCTTTCGCAATAAATGTTTTAAAATACAGTTCTGAACATGTTTAAGTCCCTTTTTATATCTTTACCTTTAAAAAACTGCACGCAAGTATATTAGAAAGTCCTAGGCCTTAGAAGAGCAATGACTTAGCAATTCTAAATGCTAAAAACGTGAAAGCTTTATATCGTATGGTTTCTTGCTTCTTCAGAAGATTAATTTGGAAGTAGTTTTTCGTCCATAAACATTAATGTTTCAGTAGAAACTTTCTTAGAATTTTCCTTTTTACCGTTGCCTGATCTGGTCCAAGAAGCTTAAATAACTGCGTTTTGGTGCTAATTTTGTCATGTCACAAGAACCATTTATCACTTTTAAAGAAACACCACATTCAACAAAATCTATCACGCAATGGGTTTCTGAAGCCTCTTAAAGTGAGCAGTTTTAGAAAAAAATAGGTTTGGGCACCAAATATTAACTCTAAGAACTGTTAGAAGTAACTCTGTATGATGCAGAAAGACACGGATGCTTAATTCTCTTATTTTTCACCAGGGGGACGGATAGATAGCAGAAATCAGGATTGTTAGCGGAAAGCAGACGATTTTCAGAAACTATTCGCGTAAGTTCTATTCTGTATTTAGGAGAAATATATTTATCACGAGTTTTTGTTCTTTTGCGTTAGGTTAACACATGATAATCAGTTTTAAAAGTGTAAAAGGATAAAATTCTTTTCCTGAGAAAGGTAAGTTAAATAGTTTTTCAATTAAAAATTAGTTTTAACAACTTTCTAACTATTTCTTCTGTGCATTCTTGTTTATAAATTAAACAAATTGGAATTTTAAATTATTATTAATATTATTTTGCAAACGATCTTGTTTAATTGATTGAATGTTTTTATCTTATATTTTGAGTATTTTGCAAGAAAAAAGCTGGCAGTTTTTAGAAGATAACCATAGACGTTTTATTCTACATTTAGGCAAAATATATTTAACATGAGTTTTGGTGCTGGTTTTAAACAGCTGGTTTTGAGCTGGTTTTAAACAGCTGATATGAAGGATTTGTAAGAGTAAGGATGAAAAATTTTCCCGTTTAAGATAAACTAATTTTTCAGCTTAAAATAACTAATTTTTATTAAAATAATTTTTGACTTTTTCTGCATGCATTTTTGTTGATTATAATTAAAAAGAATAAACTTTTAATTATTATTCATATTTTTTTTCCAAACGAATTTTTGTTGATTGATTGAATTTCTTTGTCTTATATTTTAAGAAAAAGCTAATGGTTTTCTTGAATTATCCAAGTAAGTTTACTTCTACATTCAAAATACATATATTTAACAAGCATTTTGGATTTTGTGAAGAAGGGTTAAGCAACTAATAATGAGTGTAAAAAGTGAAATGAAAAAATAATTTTAAAAGGTAAGATAAAAAATTTAATTTTAATTGAAAATAATAAGTTTTTAAATAAATAATTTTATGACTTTTCCTATATGCATTTCTTGATTAAAAATTAAACAATCTGAAAGTTAATCTGAAAGTGTAATATGTATCAAACGATTTTTTTAAATATTTTTTTCCAAATATTGTGAGTACTCCGTTTGAAGAAAGCCAAAGATTTTTAGAAAATATCCGTGTAAGTCGAATTTCATATTAAGAATAAATATATTTAACCAAAATTTTGGGTTTTAGGTGTTAAGTTTAATATCTAGGTACATATGAAAGTATATAATTACATATGAAAGTATGTAATTCTTTTACGTACTTATGAAAGTATATAATTCATTTACAAGCAAAGATAAATAAACTAATGTTTTTGTTAAAAGTAGCACTGGGTAACAATTTTATTTGTTTTCTGTTGCATGCGATTTTTTTAACGAATCTTGGATGTTTTCCCGTCGTCGATTTCAATTTTGCATTCTTTTCCTCCCTATAAGTTACAGTTTTATTTAAATAACATTTTTACTCCATTTTTTGTCAAAATATACAAGTTTGTAAAACGTTATATATGGCAGGTGGTCACATCAATGTTGCAGCAAACTTCTAGGGGAGTTAGGGCACATCACTAGAAATAAATTGAATAGGAACCAATGTCTGGTAGTGTCGTCATACACTATTAGGAGTGCTTCCCTATTAGGAATTATTTCTTCGTGTGCATCTGAACAAGTCATGATAGGAAAGCGCCCCTAGCCGTGTACGACGACATTTCCGAATATGGGTCTTTTTCTTAAAAAAATATGTAGTTTTAGGAGTAACACTAATTTCAGGCTTGAAATCCCCACACTCAAATTAGGCAAGATCAAGTATTTGTATAAAAGCAAAAAAAAAAAAAAATGCTTCCCAGTGTTATTAATTTTTAATCCAAATTATTTTTGTGCTTATGCATTATTTGTGAAGTTAAGCGAATTGTAACTTTGCTTTTAAAGTGTGTGTCTTAATTTTTGCAATGACTATAAATTAGATAAAATTCTTATATTTCATTATTCATCATTCCCGCATCGAAAAAAATTCTTATTTTTGCTTCAAATTTTTTCATTACTTATATATTATTTCTTTATTATTTATGTATTATTTCTATTTCTACAATGCACAATTTTTTTACAAGAGAGAAGTGTGTGTCTTAATTTTTGCAATGACTATAAATTAGATAAAATTCTTATATTTCATTATTCATCATTCCCGCATCGAAAAAAATTCTTATTTTTGCTTCAAATTTTTTCATTACTTATATATTATTTCTTTATTATTTATGTATTATTTCTATTTCTACAATGCACAATTTTTTTACAAGAGAGAAGTGTGTGTCTTAATTTTTGCAATGACTATAAATTAGATAAAATTCTTATATTTCATTATTCATCATTCCCGCATCGAAAAAAATTCTTATTTTTGCTTCAAATTTTTTCATTACTTATATATTATTTCTTTATTATTTATGTATTATTTCTATTTCTACAATGCACAATTTTTTTACAAGAGAGAAGTGTGTGTCTTAATTTTTGCAATGACTATAAATTAGATAAAATTCTTATATTTCATTATTCATCATTCCCGCATCGAAAAAAATTCTTATTTTTGCTTCAAATTTTTTCATTACTTATATATTATTTCTTTATTATTTATGTATTATTTCTATTTCTACAATGCACAATTTTTTTACAAGAGAGAAGTGTGTGTCTTAATTTTTGCAATGACTATAAATTAGATAAAATTCTTATATTTCATTATTCATCATTCCCGCATCGAAAAAAATTCTTATTTTTGCTTCAAATTTTTTCATTACTTATATATTATTTCTTTATTATTTATGTATTATTTCTATTTCTACAATGCACAATTTTTTTACAAGAGAGAAGTGTGTGTCTTAATTTTTGCAATGACTATAAATTAGATAAAATTCTTATATTTCATTATTCATCATTCCCGCATCGAAAAAAATTCTTATTTTTGCTTCAAATTTTNGAGAGAGAGAGAGAGAGAGAGAGAGAGAGAGAGAGAGAGAGAGAGAGAGAGAGATTGGTTCGCTCTACGACTGGGACATATTACAATGAGTTTCTAAGTGGGACAAATGAGGTCAACGGTTACAACGTGACAAAAAGAGTTTTGAAAAACAGCCTTCGATATTCCATAGTGTTCCATCATTAATCTTAAACTATAACATTGTAGTAGAGTCAGTAGTTAAAATATACGACTACAAGTCAGAATTTTCCGAAGAGCTCGATCCTGACTTTTCCTTGAATCTTAAACGGAGAAAAACCATATTTTATTATAAAACCATATTTTAGTGTTTATTTTACTAAAATCGTTTTCAAAGCCCTTTGGTAAAAATTACCGAGCTCTTTGGTGTTCTCATAAAGATTATTTTATTATTTTCCGGCAGTTTTTATCATATTTTTTCTCAGTGTTGACATTAATCAAAATTTTTTTAAAACTGAATTTGAGATATTTAATTTGAATATAATATTACTTTTGACACCACTTGATTGCTTCCTAAGTTCTTTACCGCTCCCCTTTAGGGGTAAAAAAACTTCACTTCTTGTGATGTATCGGAAAGTATTGATATTATTTGTAAGTAAGTGATAATTTTAAGTTATATAATTATATATATATTTGTTATTATCTATTACTGTTAAAAATATTTTATTTAAAATAACATTTTATATTATAACAGAAGAATTAAAGAAACAAATTTTTAAGTAAATATATATATATGCATTCAAAACATTGGAATTTTGCTTTATAAGTGAAAAGCTAAATATGAATCTCTACCAAACGCTCTCACATGTATACCAACATAATCTAGGACATACGTGAATATTCATAAACTAGGAACTTACTACAAAAGGTACATTCAATACGTTTGCGTAACTTTTTAATATACTTTGCAGCTTAAAAAAATTATTTCGGAATTTATAACGCCTATGATAAGGAATTAATAATTTATTTATTAACATAAATTTTCCAATAGTTTCAATGATTTTCTTTTCTTTTCTTTTAGGCAGAGCTAAAATGTACTAGAAAAGACGTTTGACAATGTGATAAATTATAAATTAATTTTTTTATTACAGTCGCTCAACAACAGATGCACAATCGCTATACGGATTTATGAGATAGTTATTAAATTTCTTAATATAGGTGCCATAATATAGGTACATCAGTATAGGGTATATTATATGTACACCATAATATAGGTACATTACTATAGAGTATTTTAATATAGGTACTCCATAAAATAGGTACTTTACACCATAGCGTAGTGAAAATTTTCAGCAATTTTTAATAAAATATTACATTGAATCAATATTCGTTCATGTTGTATTGTACAATCAAATTTAGTACAAGTGATGAATCATCATCATCATCATAGTTGGCCAGACAGCCCAATGTGAGCCAATGCCTTCTGACGACTTCTGATTCACCCTTGATCTCCTATTCTTTTCATTAATTGCGAGAAAATCAGACTCCACTGAGTCAGCCCATCTCAACCACGGCCTTTCCCGCTTTCTTGTTCCAGTGGGTCTAAAAAGCAGTATCTTTTTTATTGTATTGTCATCACTCATTCGAATCACGTGGGCCATCCAATTCATTCTATTTATTTTTGTGTATTTAATAATATCAGGTTGTTTATAAATCTTGTACAGTTCAAAGTTAAATGTCCTTCTCGAGTTATTGTTTTCATTTACACCACCAAGTATACTCCGCAAAGTCTTTCTCTCAAATGTTGCGATGAATAGTACAATTTAAATCAAGTGATGAATTAACCATATCGTATTCATTTTAACTTGCACGTTAAAGTGAATACGATATGGTTGATTCATCACTTGAATATCTAAAAGCTAGTGTTAGGATTGCTTGTTTAAACAAAAAATAAGTAAAAATAACTCTGTCGCAGCGTCAACTGATCCTTCTGGCGTTCTGTCTTATTCACATATTCTGTCTTATTCACAAATTATATCCCACTCAGGCATGGTTTGGAACACTCTCAGAAATAAAACTCTCACTTTTGATGATTCAGAAATGCTTAGGATGTATCTCGTCAATTTCGAGACTCATTTTGTCACGAAATCACGTGATTTGTGACGAAACGTGAACTCTCGAATATGTGACAGAAATTTTTCCTCAAAACGAAATCTCATCGTAGAGTAGTGCGGGAGATAGGCATCTAGAATGAATAGTAGACAATCGAAAATAAAGCGACGAAACAGTCCGATTTACCTGTTTTATGCTCAAATAGTGTGCTTCGTAC